TCGAAAGCCTTTTTTTCTTTTGCTCCCCCCAAAGCACCTCATGTGCTCCTTGCTGGGTGATGACTTGGAATTGATCTGATGTTTCTGCCTTCATAATCTCTTTACTATTGAGAGGGTTATATTTATAATTCGAAGCTCTACTAGAATTGAAATACAATCTGCATTCAGCTCGTGGAATGGAGGGACTGTATTCATTGTCAAGCTAATCAGCTGTTAACAGATAAGTAATATATTTTAAAAAAATATTTAGCCTCTTTCATTATTTAAAACAGTAAAATTATTTTTCTAGCTCTGTTTCATTGTTGTCATCATAGATGCAGTCACACACACAGCCCTCCCTCCAGCTTCAGACTTCCCTTAAAAAACTTAGTAATAAGCTAATTCTACTGTGTTGATAAAACGTAAGTCTCTTACAGGCATCAAGTAGGTTTGAAGAGAAGGTCTGCGACTTCATGGGAGGAATGAGGCAAAGCGGGGCCTAGATTTTTTTGTGATTTCCAGGAACCGCCGCATGACCTCGGTCAGCTCGAGCCGCCACAGAGCTCTAACAGTCAAAGTGAGACGGAAGAGTTCACATATACTTTATCTTTTATAAAAGCTGTAGACAAAAATCAAAGAATGTAAAGTCTTTTATCTCTTATGCCAAAGGTCCAAAGCCGCCTCTTAGGAAGGACCACCCCATTATGGAAACTGCCCTTGGTTGGCAGGTCGCCTGCTTCTAAACACTTGAGTTTCTCTGCAGTTTACTCGTCAAGCCCTGTGGGGCCTCCAGGAGGGTCTCGTGCTAAATTTGGTATCGTACTTGGGGCGGCTGTTGCTTTTCCATGCATGGTACTGTTTCTTTCTTACTCTGTCAGGCTTTTGGTTGGCTGTCAGTGAGTGCTTGGCTCTGGATCTTCTAGGTAGTTAACATTCTCCAGATCAAGGACCAACTTCAACTTGAATGTACGTGCAAAAACAAACCTGCATCGTTGTCATTGTCAGACTGTATATTCAAATTGTAATTATGAGGTTTAGATGATAGAACAGTAAGTTAGTATAATTACCACTGTTTCAAGACAATTCAGTTAAACACTGCTACAGTATCTTAGTGTTTTGCTGCAAAGTATGTACAGCTTTCTCCCCCCCTCCCCCCCCACTGGCAATAACCTATGTTGTTCTTCAATATTTCTAAAGCGCCTTTATTATAATGTTACCTTTCTTCAACCTTATCTTTTATAAACGTTCATAGGAGTGGCTGCTTTTAAGAAATCCTAAACAAAGTAATAGCTGGGAAAACCCTCGTGTAGCTTAAAATCAGTCATGAAAATTCACAATAGGGTAAGTCAATAGAGCCACCTATTTGTAACATGTAAATAAGCCTAATTTGTTCCAAAGATGGAATATTGAAACATAGCTTATATCCGCTGTAATGTATCATGCAAATGCTATTGGACATTTTGATAGTAAGAACTTCACATTAACTCCAACAAAGACCAAATCTGAATTGCTGGCGTGGCTGCTTTGCAGGGAATGTACTAGTAATCTTGGTGTGTTAGGTCTTAAGCTATCGATATTTCAGGATCCTGCGGTGATTTTCCTTCTCCATTCATGTACTGTATGTCCATAAATGAAAATAAAATGTTGTATTCTTTTCTAACATGTCGTCCCTGTACTTTTATTTTGGAAGGTGATTTTTCTCCCCCATTTTAAAGCAATGTATGGTCATCGTAGAAAAATTAGACAATTTAAATAAGAAAATTAGTAGCTTCTGAAATCTTGCTTTCTAGTTAGGATCACTTCAGTGTTGTCTGTCCTTATTGCTACTTTTTACTTACAGCTAAAACCAGGGAAGTACTTGAGTATAATGTCCATATGAAGGGACCCCCACCTTGAAATTATAAGTTCTTTTTTTTTTATTTTTGGTCAATCATGGGGCTTAAACTCTGGTCCTAGGCGCTGTCCCTCAGCTCTTCAGCTCAAGGCGAGTGCTCTATCACTTGAGCCACTGCGCCACGTTTTCTGAGTGGTTCCTTGGAGATAAGTCTCACAGCCTTTCCTGCCTGGGCTGGCTTTGAACTGCGATCCTCAGATCTCAGCCTCCTACTCAGGATGATAGTTGGGATGACAGGCATGAGCCACCAGCACCCGGCATTATAAGTTCTTTATAATGATAAGCCTCTATGTGTGTGCATATATACATATATAAGCATGTTTTAAAGATTATATCTTCAGATGAATTTCCCAGCTTAAGCATGCTCATTTCCTTAATTTAAAAAAAAAAATTGAGGTAAAATAATTCCTGCAAAAGTGGTCGTTTCTTGAAGTATATCCATGAGTTCATTGTGCTTTTAACTCGGGGACCATAGGAGTTGCAAGAAATGATATGCTAGCTCTGAAGAGCCTCCGTGTCTTGTTACCTGTCACAATAACAAAGTATCCTGAAACCTAGTGGTTTGGAACAGGCCAGATTTGTTTGTATTTACTATGTCACAGTTCCGGTCCATCAGGAGTCTATTGTCACGATTTATGGCTTAGGTCTGTCCCCGCTTCAGGGTTGGTCTCCATGTTCATCTGGTGTCAGATCCGCTTTGAAGATCACTGTGGTTGTTGGTAAGAGTTGGACCCCCAATTCCTTATTAGCACTTAGCTAGAAGCCACTCTCAATTTCTTGCCAGGTCCAACACAGCAGCCTGACTCATCAATACCAGCAGAAGCCACATGCAAGGCACAGTCATAACTTAAAAACCTTGGAGGTACCCTCCCACCACTGACCATATTCTGTGCACTAGAAGCGGTTTCTGGATCAGGGGAGAAGATCCCGAGAAGTCAGGAAGAGCAGAAGGTGGAGATGTTTGGAGGTCATCTCAGAAGTCAACCCACCAAGGTCAGTAAGGAGAAAATACCAAGGAGAGGTACAGACCTGAGGGTGGAGGTGGGACTTAGGCTGGTTACGTAACGCTGTGTCGCAGATTAGCTCCAAGAGCTGGAGAGGAAAGACAGCTGGGAGGGCACTGCTGGGTATTTTCTCAGAGATTGGCACTCAACTTGCTTTCTTTTTCCTTTTGACTTTTCTTAAATTTCCTCCTAGTTTTATACGTATCTCCAGATAAATGTGTTTGGTTTTACTTGGTTTTGAAGTAGTTACACTTAACTTTGAAGTAGTTTTACTTAACTTTGAAGTTTATAAAACAAAACAAAATTATATATATATATACGTATATTCTACAGCTTAAGCTTTTTTTTTTTTTTTGGTTTGGTTTGTCAGTCCTGGGGCTTGAAGTCAGGGCCTGGGCACTGCCCTTGAGCTTCTTTTTGCTCAAGGCTAGCACTCGACCATTTGAGCCACAGTGCATGTCCAGCCTTTTCTGTTTATGTGGTACTGAGGAATCGATCCCAGGATTTCATGCAGGCTAGGCAAGCACTCTACCACTAAGTCATATTCCCAGCCTCAGATTTTGTTTATTATGCCTGTCCTGGCATTTGAACCACAGGCCTGGGCACAGTCCCAAAGCTTTTGTGCTCAGTGCTAATACTCTACCACTTGAGCTCCACTTCCAGATTTTGCTGGTTAATGGAAGGCAAGAATCTCATAGACTTGCCTGCCCACGCTGGCTTTAAACCATGGTCCTCAGACCTCAGCCTCCAGAGTAGGTAGGATTAAATGTGTGAGCCGTCAGCACCCAGCATATCCTTAGTATTTAATTTCTAAGGCTCATCATGTTGATGGTTATAGCTGCTGTTTACATGGGATGGATTTTACAGTATGTGGGTTCACTGGGATTTATTCATGACTGCCACATTTGTTTACCTAGTGCACTGTTATGGACATTTTGGTTGTTTCTGCGGATTGTGCTCACATTTAGTACTGCTGTAAACACAGTATCTGCCCTCTGGCTCAGTAGGAAAGTGTCGCCATGGAGTATATGCCCAGCAGAATAATGGGCCCGAAATGTACAAGAGGATACAAAATTAGATTCTAAATTGTTAGGTTGTTTATATTTCTCCTAGTTCCATGTATGCACCACATTTGGGGATATCAAACTTCTTAGATTTTTCTTAACCCAGCATAACTTGAATGATAATAACCTGTCATCTGGGCACTGGTGGCTCACACCTGTCATCCTAGCTACTCAGGAGGCCAAGAGTTGAGGATCGTGGTTCAAAGCCAGCACAGGCAGGAAAGTCCGTGAGCCTCTTATGTCCAGTTAACCACCAGAAAACTGGAAGTGGAGCTGTGGCTCAAATGGTGGAGGGTGAGCCTTGAGTGAAAGAGCTCAGGGACAGCACCCAGGTCCTGAGTTCAAGCTCCATGACCACCACCAACAACAAAAAAATAAGAATCTGTCATGCCTGTGTACACACAAATACAATTCACACTACAGAGGCTCACCTAGACCTTAGAGGCCCAGCTTGACCTGTAGGTCTGAAGTTTTCCTTATGGTCCAAATTTCATCCTTCTCTTCCTCTTTTCTAGTTCTCTTTGCCAGAGAGCTGACTCCATGGTAGTTTCACTGGAAGACCATTTAAGGTACCATGATGTAAAGTGAAGATACCAGCCGAGTGTGGATGAGTAGGTTAGGTGGTTTGTTCCTAACTCTTCCTTTGTAGATGAATCTAAGGATTGATTTTGTTTTACCCAAAGGACCAGATGGAGCCAGGAAATATGGAAAAATCCCAACTCTAGGGATACTCAACTAGGGTTTTATTTACATTGATAACTAATACCAACCACATTTTCCTACCTGGTATCTTTAAGCAAAATCAACCAGTGGTTATGTTTGCAGTATAAATAGAAAGTTTCCAGTCCATGGTTGCCCTGGTTACTGTGACGTGTACAAGGACGCAGTGTCCCTTCTCTCTCTGGCCTAAGCAGGGTGAGCAGACAGACGCTAGCATGACTGCTTGTGTGTAGCACTAGCAAGCAGCACAGATTGCTTTCTTTTTTTCTTGAAAAGATACTGTACAGAGGGATTACAATTACATGAGTTAGGTAATAAGTACATTTCCTATGGAGCAGATTTCTTTTTTGAGACCGGTTTTATTGTTGGCCCAAGGAGAGTATTTAGAAAGATCCAACTCTTTGGGAAGTTTGCAAGAACCAGAGAGAACTTATGTCATAGTGGATATGTGCAACACATTGTATTACCACTGTAATTGCGGATGGTGAATATCATTGTGAATTGTGGCAACACGAATGTAAATTATGAGGCCAGGGAAGGGACAGACTAAAGCATCACGTTGACCCTAGGTAACTTTTTACCAGCTTCAAAAATAGAGTAACTCATGTTTCTTTACAGACACAGGAAGCTGACAGGCTTCTGAGTTCCTTCTGAAGAAAAACAGCCACGGATCACCCACTTCTGGGCAGTAGCTGTGTGAGGGTGAGCGATCCCTGACTCTGGTCTCCCCTCTTGAATCGGTGCATGACCCAAGTCCCTAGGGCCCCCAGCGGGATACACATAGCGGAGGAGGCCACCAGCAGCCCGATGATAGCCAGTGCGTGCGGGGGATAATCCTTGCTCACCAGCTGCCCCTACAAGGAGAGATCAAGCATGAGAAGGAACCTTCCCACCTGTGCCCCTGTCATGGCTGCCTAGGCCTCACCTCCCACTAGGGGGAATCTATGGAGCTGGCCCTCCATCACTGCAGCTCATCCTCTCCCATCCCTCCCACAGCCTGTGGTTGCCAGCAGGCATGCTGGGAAATTAACACTCCCCCCCCCCCCCTCCCGGGAGGCCGGGGGGGGGGGGGGGGAGGAGCTTCAGGTACCTGCATGGCATCCCAAGCTTGGTACTGTAGGGTCCCCGTGAGGATGTAGTCACTCAGGTAAAAGAGAAAGAGGCCGACGATGAGCAGCGGGGTCACGCAGGCCCACGTGGCCTTCCAGTACCAGTTGAGCGCGAAGCCCGTGGCGGCCTGCAGGTCACTTTCAAATCTACTTGGAACCATGTAGAGAGAAAGTCTGGATTCGTCATGCTTCCGGATGGGGAGAGAGGGCCAGCTTCCTTGGGCAATTGTATCACAGGAACTACTGATGTTACGTGAACTCCGCCCTCCCTCCCTCATCCCCACTCTGAACCCCGCTTGGGATTGGGGTAGAGTATGGAGGAGGAGAGAATGGCCAGGACTGCCATGAGTCTCACGGAGGGCACCCAGGTAGTGGTGAGCAAACCCAGAGCTGGGACTGGCCCTCTACTCTCACATCAGGGACTTTACAGCTGCTCTTAGGGTAGAATAAGCAGCCTTGGGAGGAGAGTCTGCCACCTTCCTGTCTGTGGTCCTGTGTTGCTGTGCTGGGAACTACCTCCTCCTTCCTAATGTTCACTGAGTAAGCTGATAGGCTCCTGCATGCAATAGGAACACCTTGGTCAGTTGGGGGCCATCTTGTTCTCTCTATAGCACCCCTTACTCCTTGAAAGTTGGGAAGGGCTGGCTGCCTAAGAGATGCTTCACATGGTTACTTGTGGGCTCTCAGTGGCGCTTTCCCCTGACGAAGCCAGGATCCTCTGGTGAGCAGTCGCTGGGATCAAGCTGCTTGCACCATTTCCAGGGCTTCTGTGTCTCCCATCAGTTCCCAGCATAACCTCTTGATAGAACAGTGACCCTCTCCCCTGACATCCAGGAGCCCAGGGTCCATCTCCTCTCCTCAACCTTCTCCCTTTGTTCTGGAAGTCCCTCTCAAGGGACAGTCTTCTTTTGCTGGACTTCCTTCCTTCCTTCCTTCCTTCCTTCCTTCCTTCCTTCCTTCCTTCCTTCCTCCCTCCCTCCCTCCCTCCCTCCCTTCCTCCCTCCCTCCCTCCTTCCCTCCCTCCCTCCCTCCCTTCCTCCCTCCCTCCCTCCTTCCCTCCCTCCCTCCCTCCCTCCCTCCCTCCATCCCTCCCTGTCTCCCTGTGCTGGGTCTTGAGAACTCAGGGCATGGGCACTGTCCCTAAGCTTCTTTCACTCAAGGCTAGCACTCCACCACTTGAGCTACAGGGCCACTTCTGGCTTTTTCTGTATAGTTTATTGGAGATAAGAGTCTCATGGACTTTCCTGCCAGGGCTGGCTTCAAACCACGATCCTCAGACCTCAGCTTGAGTAGCTAAGATTACAGGTGGAGACCCTAGCACCCGGACTTGGACTGCATTTTCCTTCCTTCCTTCCGTCCTTCCTCCCTCCCTCCCTCCCTCCCTCCTTCCTTCCCTTCCTTTCTTTTTCCCTTCCTTTCTTTTTCCCTCTCTCCCTTCCTTTCTTTTTGCCAGTTCTGGGGCTTGAACTCAGGGCTTGACCACTGTCCATGAACTTCTATCAAGGCTAGCACTCTACCCCTTGAGTCATGGCGCCACTTCCAGCTTTTTCTGTTATGTGGTACTGAGGAATGGAACCCAGGGCTTCATGCATGCTAGGCAAGCACTCTACCACTGAGCCACCTTCCCAGCCCTGGACTGCATTTCTTAAGGGACCAACTTCTCTTCCTGTGAGGTGTTTTCCTAATTTAGCCCATGTCCCTGAAAGTTGCCAGAGCTGAGTAATTAGGAAAGTTGGTCCCTACCACCAGAGCTTGTGAAATGTTCACTATGGAAAGCAAGGTAGAGGACAGAATCTGAAACCCAAGTAGGGTTTGGAAATGCTTCCAGTTACAACCCTTTCAGGGCTCTGAGAGTCTTAAAGGAAAGACACCTACTGGGCTCCAGCTTATGAACAGTGAGTTGATCATTGGAGATACCTTAGCAATGTATAGGGTCTCATTCCCGCTAGGAGCATTGGGAAACGAATCCAAGGGACTGCTTGTCCACTAGAATGTCAGCTGCTCTCTTCCCACATCAGAGCAAGGGATGATGTAGGGCATCTAGTGCCTGGAGTTACATGTGCTTGCTTGTCTGCAGGTAGCATCCCATGGGGCAAAGGGAAAATACAGGAGATAGAGAAAAGAGCTGTTCATGGAAGGCAGACTGAGGCACAGGAGTCAATTAGCTGAGATCTGATGACAAAGAAGGACCTTTAACAAATAATACTAAACTTTAAAGTCACAGAGTGCTCCTCGAGGATTGGCGATTTCCATACGAGTGTGTCCCTATGGCTGTTTTTCCTCTGCACCTGCCAGGAGCCAGGGCCTCCTCACCTCCTCAACCCGTACACGTAGCACACGGCGATGGTTTCCACCAGGGCGATGAGCAGCACAGACAGCGTGGCCGAGTAGTCATTGAACATGTCAAACCAGTAGCTCCCCGCCTCCATGGTGAACACCAGGCCGACGGCACAGTTGATGAAGCACACCAGACCTGGGGCACAAGATCACCTGCTCAGCTCCCCCAAAGCTCGTTGTCCATTTCCAAGACACCAAGAACCACAGGCTCCTCAGGAGATCTTGGCCTACTGGCTCACTCCCATGTATTGAGCAGGGACATCAGGCTCCTTCAAGAGAATTGCTTTTGCAGAAATATCACCCTGTGCATCCGGGTACCTAAGCCCCAGAGCTCAGAGATATGATCTGAGGAAGGATTCGACTGTGGAGTGGGGGCCATAGGATGAAGATTTCTTATCCTATTTACTGTGATAAGACAATGAAGGAGCTCACAGATTGTGAAGGAAGACAACAGACTCAGTGTGTGTGTTGGACGACGCCAATGATAGATCCTTTAGGATAGAGCAGAAAAGATAGAGGGCGACCCAATAGGCATGAAGTGTGCCTTCAAGCACAGTCCTGTAGACACAAGCAAAACAAAACAAACAAAACAGAAGTTAGAAAAAGTGTGATCTCTTTGGGTGCTTACGGCCAAATGTCAGTGTGAAGAACCCCACGTGGTAGATGAATTTGTTGTCATCCATGGTGCTGATTTGGCTGGATGCAAATGTAAAATTCACTTCTGTGTTCTTAAGTGTGTACCTACATCTCCAAGCTGCTGCTAGTGGCTCACACCTGTCATCCTAGCTGAGATCTGAGGATCGTGGTTCAAAGCCAGCCTGGGCAGGAAAGTCCGTGAGACTTTTATCTCCAATAAAACCACTCAGAAGGGGCTGGGAAGGTGGCCCAGTGGTAGAGCGCTTGCCTTGCATGCATGTGGCCCTGGGTTCGATTCCTAGCACCACACAAGCAGAAAAAGCCTGAAGAGGTGCTGTGTCTAAAGTGGTAGAGTGCTCACCTTGAGCTGAAGAGCTGAGGGACAGTGCCCAAGAGTTCAGGCCCACTACTGACAAACAAAAAACAAAAACCAGAAAACCACAAGTGACGCTGTGGCTCAAGTGGTAGAGTGCTAGCCTTGAGCTGAAGAGCTAAGGGCCAGCGCCCAGGCCCGGAGTTCAAGCCCTATGACCGACAAAAATAAAAATAAAAAGTAAGAATCAGGTAGCAAAAAAGTATATATATATGTATATATATATACATATATATATATATATATACATATATGTGTATATATATATAATAACTATAGAATATTTGTCTGAAGACAGGAAGATCGTCGGAATCACAAAAAAGTTGGTCTGATAGCAGTAAAGCAGAAACAGAAGCAACACAAAGGCATCAAATCATTGCAAGCTCAGCCAGCAGCTCCCTGGGTCTCAGAGGGGAATCCGATTAGCAAGGTGAGCCAAATGGTCCAGGCTACCAACTAGCAGTTCTACCTCCAGGAAAGTCCATACCTTCTCCAAGTCTTCAATCTAGTATGAGGAGACAGTCATTGCACATATGCTGGGAAATAGTGGCATTTCTGTAATGCAATTGCTGCCAATAAAGCAATTTTTAAAAAGGATATTCTGTTGTTCATTTTTGAAAGTTATAGCAGGATGTCATCTTGAGAGAAATCCTATTGTGTTAGGCTGAAACACTCCAGGAATTTGAAATCAAAGAACATTCATGGCCTAGAGAGTCTCGGGACACAGGGCCTAGGTAGAAGACAGCCATGTGAAGTGGCCTTGGGGAAGGACTGTATGTTATAATAGTCCCTCAGGTTAGTTCAAACAGCTGGGAATTCCAACAGGTGGAGAGCTTGAATCCCTGCAATCGAGACCAGACCCTCCAAATCACTCGATAGTACAGCCCCTTCACTCAACAGGGAGGGGAGATGCTGTGCTGGGCTTGAAAGCACTAAGGCACATCTTCAGGAACTCTCTCTGCAAGGACTTGGGGCCAGGCAGGCACTAATCCAAGCCTGCCAAATCATGTCATTATCACAGCCTCCTCATGTTGATACTTCAGCTGAAAAAAGACCACAGATGATTAAAACTCCCAACCTGTAACTTGGTCTCAGATGCACAAATCCAAAAGCACACAAATTATGAAAATAGCTGTGTAATTCCTCCAAAACTCAAGTACTCTACATTAAATAAAATATTAAAGTGGATTAAATTGCAAAGAAAATGGAAATGATTCCTATATTTGATATTATCAGACTATCAAAATACATGGAGACCAAAGAATTCCCTTTTGGATGGTCAATAAGTCTTTAGAGAAATACGGTTTGAAATTTAAAAAAATTCCTAGATTCAAATGAAAATGAAAATACAACTTACCGCAACCTTTAGGAGACAGCAAAAGACAATGCTAAGAAGAAACATTATACCCATCAGTGACTTCATTTTTAAAAAGTTAGCAGTAATGAGTAAATAACTTAGTGATGTACATCAACCTGTTCCTGACATACTTCTAAAACAATCCATCCTCACAATTAGTAGATGGTAGGAAACTATACAAATAAACTGACGCCAGTAGCTCACATCTGTCATCCTAGCTACGCAGGAGGCTGAGATCTAAGGATCACGGTTCAAAGCCAGCCTGGACAGGAAAGGCTGTGAGACTCATCTCCAAGGAAGCACTCAGAAAGCCGGAAGTGGTGCTGTGGCTCAAGTATAGAGTGCTCACCTTGAGCTGAAGAGCTGAGGGACAGTACCCAGGCCCTAAGTTCAAGACCCACAACCAACTAAAATGAATAAATAGGTGCTTTGAAAAGACTGACATTTTTAGTGACACTAAACCAGAAAAAAAAGACCTAAAAAAAAAAATCAGAGGTAAGAAAATGGTATCATAACAAATGCCAGCTAAATTCAGAGGGTCATCAGAATATTTTTTCAGCATTTTGTTATTTGTACATTCTTTATTAGCATGCATTAGTTGTGCAATGGAGTGTTCACTATGCCATCTCCACACGTGTACGATGTATTCTGATCAACCTCCTCTATCACCTTCTCTCTGTCACTTTCTTCTATCGTCCCCAGCCAGTCTTATTATTCCATTTTCATACATACATATATATATTAATTCAACTATATTCATCATCATAGGGAATACTTTTAGAATCTATATATATATAGAGAGAGAGAGAGAGAGACTGGAAAATTTAGAGGAAACAAGCAAATTACCAGATTCATATGACCTACCTATATTGAACCAAGAAAATACAAATAATCTATACAAGCCTGTAATAAGTAATGAAATTTTGGCTATAATACGGAGCTTCCCAAAAATAAAAGCCCAGGGCTAGATTGATTCACTGCTGAATTATTATTTTTTGTCGGTTGTGGGGCTTCAACTCTGGGCCTGGGTGCTGTCCCTCAACTCTTAAGCTCAAGGCTAGTGCTCTACTACTTGAGCCACAGCACCACTTCGGTTTTCTGAGTGGTTTATTGGATATAAGAGTCTCATGGACTTTCGTGACCAGACTGGCTTTGAACCATGATTCTCAGATCTCAGCCTTCTGCGTAGCTAGGCTTACAGGTATAAGCCAACATCACCTGGTCTCACTGCTGAATTCTATCAGATCTTTCAGGTTGAACTAGCACCAATGTTCCTAGAACTACTATAAAGGGAAGGACTGCTACCAAACTCCTTTTATGAAGCCAGTATTACCATAAAACAAGTATCAGAAAAGGAAACCACAATAAAATGAAAATGGTACCAATCTCCTTGATGAACAAAGGCACAAATACTCTAATTAAAAAATTTGGAAACCCAGGCCAGGTGCCAGTGGCTCAGGCCTGTAATTCTACTACTCAGGAAGCTGAGATCTGAAGATCACGGTTCAAAGCCAGCCCAGGTTTATCTCCAATAAACCACTTAGAAAACTGGAAGTGGTGCTGGGGCTCAAGTGGTAAGAGTGCTCGCCTTGCAAGGCAAGAGCTGAGGGACAGAGCCTCGGCCCAGAGTTCAAGTCCCACAACTGACAAAAACACAAAAGGAAACTCAAATATATTATGGGGGCATGAACAACCTCAACTAACCAGAGCCATCCCAAGTATAAAGACCTATGCAGAAGCTATAGTATTAGACTTCACATACTATAGAGCCATATTAACAAAAACAGTGCGGTACTGGTACAAAAACAGACACATAGCCCGTTGCAATAGACTAGGATATAAATGTGCAGCCACTTCATTTTTGACAAAAGGTACCACCAAAAGATGGATTGGCGAAAACAAGGCCTCTTTCGCAAATACTATCGGGAAGACTGGAAATCTACAAGTAGAAAGACTGAAAATAGGTCTTGCACCCTGCATAAAAATAAATTGAAAGTGGAGTCTTGATAAATGGGAGACTTGAAGCTGCTAGAGGAAAATGCAGGAGAAATCCTTTCCAATAGAAACACAGGTAGCACCTTTTCTGAGGAGGGAGCCTGTGGTTGCGAAATTAAGAGCAGGAGCTACCATTGGGTTTATATCAAATTGAAAGCTTTGCATAGCAAAAGGAAACAGCTACTGGCATCGATGTACAATGTACAGAATGGAAGAAAAATCTTGGCATCTATTTATGGGATAAAGTATAACCAGAAAATATAAACACAGAAGAACAAAAGTGTGAACAGCAATATCCCTTATAATCATTACACTTTTTCTTTTTTTGGTGGTGGTGGATCTTGAACTCTGGGCCTGAGCGCTGTCCTTGTACTCTTCAGCTCAAGGCTAGCGCTGTACCACTTGAGCCACAGCGCCACTTCTGGCCTTTTCTGTGTGTATGGTGCCAGAGGAATCAAACCCAGGGCCTCATGCATGGGAAGCAAGAACTCTACCACTGAGCCACCTTCCTAGCCCAACCATTACACTTAGAATCATTACACTTCAACTGAACTAAGAATCTTGCCTAGCCTACAGGATTAAATATCAGGTCAGGTTTGGGAAGTTGGATACCATGTAAAATCTGGTGCCCACTTCCCTTTTCTAGAATGCTGAGAAAGAAACACACAGGCTGAACCCCGTAGCCACGGTCCCAGATCACAAGCAATGGACTGTCAGGACTGGGATGAAGTTCCATCTGCCCTCTGCAGCCATCTTGAGAGGAAGCTTGTTTTTCCCTCACCTGCCCCCGCCCATGCCACCCCTCCCCAGCTCATTCATCCTCTGCTGGCTTTCCCACTCACCTGAGATGACCTCCTTGGGCAGATGTCTGGAAATGACCTGGCTGTCCGTCAGGGGGGTGATGATGGCTGTTGCGTTTCCCAGCATGCTCCCTATGCCCAGCATCAACAGCATGAAGAAGAAGAGCACGGACCACAGCTGGGACATGTCCATGTTTTTAATGGCCTCCGTATAGACGATGAAGGCCAGGCCTGTGCCCTGGACAGCCTGCTTGTGGTGAGGAAAGAGACCTGTTATGCATCCAAGTGCGCAGCCTCATTCTCAGCCTGGGTCTTCTACCTGCCCTGCCTCAGTGGGACTGATTAGAAATGGGAGCTGAGACTCTCAGTGCTGGGGCTAAAGAGGTTTAGGGGAGCCAGTGTGGTGGTCTGGCAAGGTTCCCTTGGTAGCCACACGCCTGTTGGCTGATGGCCCTGTTTCAGAGATAACTGAGTTGTGGAAACTAAGCCCATGATGACTACTTAGAAATCCCAGGCTGGCTGGGCGCCGGTGGCTCACGCCTGTCATCCTAGCTACTCAGGAGGCTGAGATCTGAGGATCGTGGTTCAAAGCCAGCCTGGGCAGGAAAGTCCATGAGATTTTCATCTCCAGTGAACCACCAGAAAACCAGAAGTGGCACTGTGGCTCAAGTGGTAGAGCGCTCGCCTTGAACTGAAGAGCTCAGAGACAGCGCTCAGGCCCAGAGTTCAAGCTCCACAACTGACCAAAAAAAAAAAAAAAGTCTCACAGATGTCATATTTTGAAAAGGGTGTATATGGATATACATTTTTAAAACCATAGGTTCTTTAATTTGAAGGTTAATCTTGGGACCAATAACAAATAACCCTATGTCCTTGAAACATTTTTTTCTTTTTCTTTCTTTTCTTTTGTTTTTGGTCAGTCATGGGGTTTGAGCTCAGGACCTGGGCATTGTCCCTGAGCCTTTTTACTGGAGGCCAGTGCTCTACCACTTGGTTTTCTGGGAGTTAATGTGGAGCTAAGAGTCTATCAGACTCTCCTTCCTGGGGCTGACTTCAAATCTCCATCTTCAGATCTCAGCCTCCCGAGTCGCTAGGATGACAGGTGTGAGCCACAGGCACAGGGCTAACATTTTTCTCTTTAACATAAAAAGAAAAAAAATCTGAATGCCAAATAACAAAAGGTTTATGAGGGCCTGATTCTACTGTGTATTTCTCTAGATTGTTAAGACTTGAAAAGAGGGAAGGAAAAGGAAGGACCCGGAAAACCCAATAGAGCCTTCTAAGGAATAGAATTCCTGAGGAACCCTTTTGGAAGAAAGCGATTGACTCTCTTCTTTTCTGATTTGCAGGGAGAAAAATTCAGAGAGAAGCTGCTTTCCGGGGTCACTTTTAACATGGGTGAAGAAGGGGAACAGTCTCTGACCTTCCCAGAACCTCACCGTGTCCAGCTCCGACTCTAAGCTGCAGTTCTTCATGTGTGGGAACACTTGGCTGTATTTGCTTGGGTAAGTGGAGGCAAGGTAGTTCTTCACTTGCTCTAGGTTGCTGGCTGTCAGAGAGCCATCTTCAAGGTCAAAAGAATTGGTCAGCAGTAAAATCACCCTGTGGAGGAGACCATCGGCTTGACCTTGACTGACCACAAAGAGCAACTGTCCCTAAGACCTCAGTAGCTCAGGTGCTGAGCTGACCCCATTCCTGCCTGCCCCATTGAATGAGGAAATCTGAGGCTCAGGCTTCCAAGAAACAGCCGGACTCACTTGCTTAGGCAATCCTCATAGTTGAAGGTGGCCTTGAAACCGTAGATGGCGAAGGTCACGATGCTGGCGAAGATGGAGGTAGAGCCGTTGATGAGGGACACGATGATGGCGTGTTTCTGGCAGTTGTTGGCGGGGTCGTTGTAGCTTGCAAAGGCGATGAGGCTACCAAACCCCAGGCCCAGAGAGAAGAAGACTTGTGTGGCTGCGTTGATCCAGGCCTTGGGGTTGACCAGTTGCTCAATCTGGAAGGTCAGCAAGGGTAGGATTGATGAGTTCTGGTCTCAATCCCACATTCTCATGGCTTGAGGAAGAGGAGGCTCAGTGGAGGGCTGGGAAACCTTGTCTCTGGTATACAGGCCATCAGGACAGCCTAGAGCAAGAGCCCGTGTTCTCCTGGCCCTGACTAGTGAACCCTTAGCTGATGAACCGTTTGGCAATCTTTGTGATGCTAGCGTGCAATTGTAGGGCCAAGTAATTAAAAATCATGGAGTTAGCCAGGCACCGGGGGCTCATGCCTGTCATCCTAGCTACTCAGAGGCTGAGATCTGAGGATCCCGGTTCAAAGCCAGCCTGGGCAGGAAAGTCTGTGAGACTCTCCAGTAAGCCACTCAGAAAACCGGAAGTGGCGCTGTGACTCAAGTGGTAGAGCACACGCCTTGAGCTGAAAAGCTGAGGGACAGCGCCCAGGCCCGGAGTTGAAGCTCTACGACTGACCAAAACAAAAAGAATCGTGGAGCTTCAGAGGCTCCATCCAGGCCTACAGGCTTCTGATTACAGAGAGGCAGCTGAAGTAGCCAGATTCCCTGGCCTGATGGACATTTGCAATGAAAGGGCTCAGGCATGCATTTTGTAGGTAGATTCTACAGCACTTGAGTTGCCTTACCTCTAAGGCAACTGGGGCCTCCTTCCGGTAAGTACTGGCTGTGGGGTATCTGGAGAAGAGAGGGCATTGAGAACCCGCAGGGAAAGGACCTGGGACTCATAGGAACAGCCCAGAGAGATGACTGGAGTCATGAAGGCAGCAGGTGGGGCCTGAGGGAAGACTTCCTACCCAGAATGCACAGGGTCAGGGACTACCTGTCCTAGGAAGTCATTCAGACACCCCTGCCACCATCCTCAAACACAGCCTCGAGGCTCACACTGGCCTCCATCTTCCCCTCCCTCTAGCCATCCTGGACGATGGTGAGAGAGGTCACCTTAGGCCCCCCTTCTGCCCCCCCCCCTCCAAGCCCCATTACCTTGGGAGTGAACAGATACAGCAGGCCGTTGATGGCTCCGTGGAGCATGAGGCCCCTGACTAGGTAGATGAGGAGCACGCAGGAGGGCAGTGAGGCGGTCAAATAGAAGACCTGCGGGTGCCAGAGGGCAGAGTCAGCCTCTGGAGAGGTGGGCGTGACCAGGGAGACTCCTGTCCCTGGAAACACCCACATCTGGTGTATTTAGGATGCTGACAGGGAAGGAGACATTCACATCTACTTGGACCTGACCACCAAGATGGCGGTTGGGCTCCAGATGGTGGGACGTGATTGCCAACATCTCTTATTACATTCCCCAGAAAAATCTCTTCCTTTAGTGGAGAAATTGTAATCGGGTATCAAAGGCTCTGGCTCCCTGCTGCCCTTTAATCCAGCTGTGTTCCAGATAGGATTCAAGGTACTTGCAAAAATGAGCATTGATACTTTCAAAGTACCAAGGAAGTTAAGTGTGGAAAGGAAATAGGAAAGCCAGGCGCTGGTGGCTCACGCCTGTCATCCTAGCTACTCAGAAGGCTGAGATCTGGAGGATCACGGTTCAAACCCAGCCTGAGCAGGAAAGGCCATGAGACTCTTACCTCCAATGAACCACCAGAAAACCGGAAGTAGAACTGTGACTCAAAGTGGTAGAGCAAAACAGAAAAACTCAGAGATGGTGATCAGGCCCTGAGTTCAAACCTCACAACTGACAATAAAAAAAGAAAAGAACAGAAAAAAAAAAACAGAAACCATAGAAAAAGGCAATCCAGGCTGGGAATGTGGCTTAATGGTAGAGTGCTTGCCTAGCATGCATGAAGCCCTGAGTTTGATTCCTCAGCACCATGTACACAGAAAAAACTGGAAGTGGTGCTGTGACTCAAGTGGTAGAGCGCTAGCCTTGAGCAAAGAAGCTCAAGTACAGTATCCAGGCTCTGAGTTCAAGCCCCAGGACTGGCAAAAGAAAGAAAGAAGAAAGAAAGAAAGAAAGAGAGAAGGGAAGGAAGGAAGAAAGAAGGAAGGAAAGAAAGAAAGGAAAAGAAAGAAAGAAAAAAGAAAGAAGCAAACAAGAGAGGAAGGAAGAAAACAAAGGAAGAGGAAAGAAAAAGGCAGTCCATAGAATATGTGATGCTTCTAGTCAATTTCCTAAGCAACTTCAGCAAAATAATAAATAAAAAAGTTTCAAAGAAGAGATCCTCCTGGTCTTATTGCTCGAGATTCTGCCTTTAGGCTAGAAGGTACGGAAATGTTCATCTACTTAGGTAGATGAGAGAATCCTCCCTTGGAGCTTCAAGGTTGTAACTGATCCCCAGCACGCCCACCATCTTGGCTGGTACCTAGTAGATGAATTGCACCAGGCGCACCACGCCCTGTGCTCTAGCAGTCTGCAACCCTTGGCATTCATTGCTTGAAGCTGAGGGCAGAGGCATGGGTTTCCCCGCCTGCCCAGACCATGCTCCCAGCCCACCTTGCCAGTAGATTCAGTGCCCCGCAGGATGCACAGATACACCATCAGCCAGGCCAGGATGAGGCACAGCGCAGGCTCCCACTGCATGGCCCCGTTCTCCTGGATGGACGGCGAGATGTTGAGGGTTTTCCTGTACCAGAAATACTGCGTGGATGAGGCCTTCTCACACTCCTCCTCGTAGCCTGTGCGGTTTCCATTCAGCGGGCACACGGACCACGGCAGGGGGTCCTTTGCCATCAAGCCGGCATCAAGAGAGAGGGGAGGAAAGGAGAAAGAAGCTGGGTGTGATTCAGATGTTGGGGTTTTGGTTTTTTGGTTGTTCCCAAACGTTCAAAGGTAAAAAGGTTCCCAAGGTAGTGGGGTTGGAGAGTGCTGGAGATCTATAAGAGGTAGGGGCTTAGAGGAGTATGCTTTCAGAGATTGGTGACCCCCATCTCTTTCTTCTCCTCCTGGAGGTATGACAGTTTGCTCCTGCATGCAATTCTACCACTGCCAAATCCCAAATCAGCTGGGCCTATCTGCTCCTGGACTTTGGACCTTTAAAAAAAGGTTTACTTGGCTCTAATCACTTTTTTTTTTTTTTTTTTACCACCCTGCAGGTGTTTTCTGTAGACTCCTGAGCTCTGCTGTGGATCTAAGAGACTGCATATCCCATACACAATGGCCAGAGGAGCTATGACAGCACGCCTCTAACCCTCTCGATCTGCCAGCCTAGGACCTCAAACCACAAGCTCTACAGCATCGGCTAGAGAGTGATCAGGACTCCCGGAGTCCTCAGATTGGCTAGCCAATCAGAGAAAGCCAAATTTTCTTGGTTAACCAATTACAGAGGATGTTGTACATCTCTACTTCACCTGTCTTTTTGGGTCCCCAAACCAACACGGCATCCAGGTGCCCCGGCAGATGAGGACGGTCTTTCCTCCCATGGATGTTAGGTTTGGGTTCGGCACCCTGAAACCTTTGAGCCAGAGAAGTGGGTACTGGTGATTTTCTCTGAGCTCAAATTACCCATCAGTGAGACACTTGGATTCCTTGATTTTATAGAGGGGAGTCACTAAGAGCCTATTCGGCTTTAGCTATATAGAAAGGAGTTCTCTGAAACCTTGTTTGTTGGTGTTGGTGGTGGTTGTAGGGCTTGAACTCAGGGCCTGGGTGCTGACCCTGAGCCTTTTTGTGCTCAAGGCTAGCGCTCTACCGCTAGAATGACAGCACCACTTCCGGTTTTTGAGTGGTTCATGGGAGATAAGAGGCTCACAGGGACTTTCCTACCTTGGGTTGGCTTTGAACCTTGATCTTCAGATTTCAGCCTCCTGAGTAGCTAGGATTACGCACATGAGCCACCACGCCCACCATGGCTGTAGATTCTTATCTCCAATGAACTACTAGAAAACTGGTAGTGGTGCTGTGGCTCATAGTAGAGAAGTAGCCTTGGGCAAACATCTCAAGGACAGCATCCTGAGCTTCAAGCCCTATAATTCACGAGAAGGTGGGCAGCCTTACATCTTCTCCCTTTCTTGCTCCTGCTCTGTCTGGCCAGGTAATCGGCTTACCTGGAAGGAGTGGAAGAGGTACCAGAATCCCCAGGCATTGATGATGTTGTAATACATGGAGACGAAGAACGTGACCACCATGCTAGCGATGCCTATGAGAACATACAGGACCGAGCTGAGGACCAGGTGTAGATGGCCCTGTCCCATTCATGCACACTCCCTGTGGGGACTGCCCAAGGTCAGAAAACCTCTCATCCAGCTCGGTGAGTACTCACAATGACTGTGTAGCTGTGACCGCTTCATGAAGCGCGCGCGCGCGTGTGTGTGTGTGTGTGTGTGTGTGTGTGTGTGTGTGTGTCTCCAATCTAAGCTCCAAGCTAATGATGTTTTGTTTAAAACAAGGTCTGGGGTTCTTTTCAGGGTCTCAAAATTCTCCTTGGCAATCCTACTTACTCAGGAGGTTGAGATCTGAGGATCGAGGTTCACGTAACAGCCTGGGTGGAAAAGTCCATGAGATTATTTCTAACGAATCACGAGAAAATTGGAAGTGTCACTGTGGCTTAAAGTGATAGAGCCCTAGCCTTGAGCTGAAGAGCTCAGGGACAGCGCCCACGCCCTGAGTTCAAGCCCCAGAACCGACAAAGACAAAAAAAAAACCACAAAGATGTCAGACAAGGTGATGTCTGGAGAAGATGTTTTCTTCAAGCTCTCTGTCCATAGCTTTATCACCAGCCTTCACAACAGCATAATTTAACAAAAGACCACACAACAGTCCTGGCTTCCTTCCTATTTTTTGAGATCTAAGGGCCAGGTACTACGCTTAGTACTTCTTGTGCTTTGGGACCATACAGTAGTATCAGTAGTGCCCATTTCAGAGGGGAGAAGGAAGGAGTACTGAGTTTGCCTATGATCACTCAGCTACTAAACTAGAATTTGAACCTCCTGTGAGCAGGACTTGGTCACTACAAACACCAGTGACACACATGATGCCGTAGTTGCTCCCTCCAGAAGTTGAATCAATGGAGCCAAACCCTGCATTGAGACCAAGGCTATGCCTGGCACCAATGGCTCACGCTTGTCATCCTAGCTACTCAGGAGGCTGAGATCTGAGGATCATGGTTCAAAGCCAGCCCTGGCGGGAAGTCCATGAAACTCTTATCTCCAATGAACCACCAGAGCACCGGGGTGTCTTGACTGCTAAGTAGGTGTCTGTATCCTGAATGGAGAGCAGCTGCTGTCTCAGTGGTAATCATCTGGAGAGTTGGACCGCCTGAAGCCCTGGGTTTGATTCCTCAGTCCCACATACACTGAAAAGGCCAGAAGTGGTGCTGTGGCTCAAGTGTCCCAGTCCTTCTCAGCCTTATTGCACATCCGTCTGTCCACCCAGAGCCAGTAGGGGCTCTTGTGTGCAAGTTGGTGGATTCCTAACCTCCACTCCTCTGCTTGCCCAGGGGACCCCCTTCCCCACAGGGCCTGTGTGGATGAGGAGGACCCCACGTACCAACACCACCGAGGTAGGGGCTGATGGTCCTCCAGGCTCCGATGCTTCCTTGACGCATATGCTGTCCGACGGCTAGCTCCAGGTACATGAGCGGCATTCCCTCCAGGAGGAGCATGATCACATAGGGGACCAGAAAACTACCTGGGGGCATCGGGAGATGAGGGCCGGGCTAGCACCACTGTAGATGGCCTCGCTCTGCCATCCACCTGCCTGGAGCCTCCACCCTGCCTTTCTTTTGTTGTTTAAATTTATTGTTATGCCAGGCACCGGTGGCTCAAGCCTGTCATCCTAGCTACTCAGGAGGCTGAGATCTGAGGATGACGGTTCAAAGCCAGCCCAGGCAGGAAAGTCCATGAGACTCTTACTGCCAGTAAACCACCAGAAAACCAGAAGTGGCGCCGTGACTCAAGCGATAGAGTGCTAGTCTTGAGCTGAAGAGCTGAGGACAGCACCCAGGCCCAGAGTTCAAGCCCCATGACTGACAAAAAAAAAAAAACCAAACAAACAAAAAACCCAAGCAAACAAAAATGGAATATAGTCATCAAAAAAAATTAATACAAAAGTTCTCTGTTTCAATACCTTTGGGGTGCATCTCAGTATGTGTATTTTTTTTTAATATACAAATAAAGAGGCGCTTGGGTATTGCACCTTTGTGATTCTCTCCTGAAACGATCCTCTTTTAGTCTTGCTGTGTGTGTGAGTAGCTAAAATCCTGTGTAATTTTGTCATAGCCCAGTGTGTTTACATCTAACATCTGTGTATCAGAGAGGACACAGGCCATTTGTCTCTCTGAGGTTGGCTGATCTCGCTTAACGTGATTTGTTCTAGTTCCATCCATTCCCCTGCAAATGACATTCTTTTCTCCTTTCTAATGGCTGTGTACTATTCCACTGTGTACAGATGCCCACCTATGGTAGGGCATCGGGGTTGTTTCCATACTTCGGCTGTTGCTTTCATCCTTCCTTCACCTTGTGACTTTCCACCTGTCCTTGCTCCTTCCCGCCACCCATCCATCTGCTCTGGGAATCTTTCCACCAGGCTTCCACGGTTCGTCTCCCTGCATCTTTCCCACACTCCCATCCCTCTGTCACTCCTCCTACCCATCTTGCCACTAGCCACCCTGTAGCTCATGGGAATCCCTGGGAAGATGTTGGCCGAGGGCTGGTGCCAACCCAGTCAAGCCACACGGCCCCCTCAGTACGACACTCACCTCCTCCATACATCTGGCACAGGTAGGGGAAGCGCCACACGTTGCCCAGGCTCACGGCGTAGGAGATGCAGGCCAGCAGGAACTGCAGGGGGTTGCGCCACTGCTGTCTCGATTTCTCCATGGCTGCGACTTGGCTCTCCTCAGCTTCTCAGCTCGGTGATGAGGACATCTGGCCTTTCCTGGAGCTGTAGGGTCGAGTCCCAAAGGTGACCCCACACCTCCTTCCCTCCTCCCCTCCCTCCAAACTTCTGGATCTTCTCAACTATTGGGATGGGAGCGGGGGTTCTCTCTGGACCCTAGCTCCTGCTCTTTCTATCCCCTGGGTCTTGGAATCTGCTCCCTGACCCCTCAGCACCTGACTCTGGTCCTCCCCCACCTTCTCCCCCCTCCCTGCCCTGGACTTCAAGGTTGGATAGTTGCACACAATTCCCCTCCCCATTACCTTTGTCCCTATTTCACTGTTGCTCAGCCCTGGGCTACCCCAACTCCACAGGCTTTCTGAGCTTTTCAGGAGGCTGTTAGAAGCTTCTAGAGTTTTTGTGTGTGTGTGTTTTGGTCACTGGCAGGGCTTGAACTCAGGGCCTGGGCACCTGTCCCTGAGCTCTTTGGTTCAAGGCTAGAACTCTACCAGTTGAGCCACAGCTCCACTCCTGGCTTTTTTTTTTTTTTTGGAGTGGTTCATTGGAGATCAGGGTCTCACAGATTTTTCTGCCCTGGCTAGCTTTGAACCATGATCCTCAGATCTCAACCTCCTGGATAGCTAGGATGACAGGTGTGAGCCACCGGTGCCTAGCTGTTGTCAATAATTTCTATACTCACCTGTTTATAGAACTCAGTTCGTCACAATGACTGTGTTTAATAACCAGCTGGCAAAAAAACCCTTTCAACTCTTTCCCAACTGGCTCTCAAGGGTCAGCTTTGTATTCTACGGGGAGATATGGCTGGTTCAGGGTTGAGTTTCACTCTCAGGAGTGTCTGGAGCCTAAGCCGTAAGGGTTTAAAGTCTGGGAGCCTCACCCCAGAGTCCTGTTCTTGCTTCCCATGGGCTGGACCTTCCCTATGCCCTGGTCAATCTCAAAAGAACTTTCTACAGAAAGCTCTGGATGGTTTATCATCTAATTTCTGGGAGAAGAGGTGGGGCAGCACCTGACTGGGTTGAGTGTTGATCACTAAGCCTGGGCTGGGGTTCCGGGATTTCACCCCACCGGCTAGGAGGGTCAGGCAGATGTCAATCATTTGCTCATCTGGGTGACTCTGGTTAATAAGTCACTGCTGGGGCTTCCAGTTCCCCAGAAAATGAAGCCCATACTCCAAAGCTTTTCTCAGAAGGACTGAGGACTTTTTTTGTGTCCATTGTGGGGCTTGAACTCTGGGCCTGGGCGCTGTCCCTGAGCTCTTCAGCTCAAGGCGAGTGCTCTACCACTTGAGCCACAGCACCACTTCTGGTTTTCTGGTGGTTCATTGGAGGTAAGAGTCTCATGGCCTTTCCTGCCCAGGTTGGCTTTAAACTGTGATCCTCAGATTGCAGCCTCCTGGGTAGCTAGGGTTGCAGGTGTGAGCCACCGGCGCCTGGCAAAGACAGAGGGCTTAAAAAAATATTCTCTACTTTAAAATGTTTTCTTTCCCTTCCTCTCTCCTTTCTCTCCCTCCCTTCCTTCCTTTCTTCCCATCCCTTCCTCCCTCCCTCCCCCTTCCTCCCTCCCTGTCTTTCCTTCCCTCCCTTTCTTTCCTTCCCTCCCTTCCTCCCTTCCTCCTTTCCTTCCTCCTTTCTTTCCTTTTTCTTTCCTTCCCTTCCCTTTCCTTCCTTCCCTTTCTTGTGTTCCTCCCTATGCAATACTCAAGTTAGCCACTAGATGGCATTGCCCCTCCAAGCAAGCAGAAAACCCACTCCAAGACACTATGGGAGGTGGGGTGGGGGTGTTAACTGCACCCAGAAATCTCTGTCTCCCATCACTTCCCACCACACCTCTTTGATGGAATTGTACCAGTCTCCCCCCCCCCCCCCCCCCCCCGCGACAAAGGTCCATTTCCCTCCAACATTTTTACTTTGCACTGAACCCCGCCCCCCACCCCCACCCCCAAACAGCTTTCAGAAGAAAAAACGTCTGATAGGACCACGTTTTCCCACCATGGGGGACTTTCCCAGTGTGTTCCACGTCCCTGGAAGTACCTGAGCATGGAGCACCCGCACTTTTCTGGTTTTCTGAATGTCATGGTGGAAGACGATGTCCAAAGAAAGGGGATTACAAAGCCCAAGTCGGGGTGGGAAGTGCTTCAGGTTACAACCCCTTCAAAGCTCTGACAGTCCTAAAGGAAAGATGTCCCCGAAGCTCACAGCCTACTTAACACATGGAGCCTCCCATGATGCAAAGGGAAGAAATACAAGACACAGAGGAAGAAGCTGTTCTCTGAAGACAAACAGGCAGGGGAAGAAAATCAGCGGCGATCTGATGGCAAGGAACAAACTCTAACAATCAGCACTAGGCTGCAATTTGAATGTGCCTGGATGGGCTGTTTTCCCTCTGCCGCTCCTCACTCCCCTTCAGCCTGTACCCAGGGCACATGGCGATGATCTCCACCAGGACCACAAGCAGCAGGGACAGCATGGCCGAGTAGTCATTGAAGATGTCAAGCCAGTAGCTCCCCGCCTCCATGGTGAGCACCAGGCCAATGGCACAGCTGCTGAGGTAGAGCAGACCTGGGGCACGAGACCACCTGCTCAGCCAAGTTCGTCCAACTTCTTTTCTTTTTGTGTCATTCGTGGGGCTTGAACTGTGGGCCTGGGCGCTGTCCCTCAGCTCTTCAGCTCAAGGCTAGTGCTCTACCACTTGAGCCACAGCGCCACTTCTGGTTTTCTGGTGGTTAACTGGAGATAAGAGCCTCATGGACTTTCTTGCCCCAGCTGGCTTTGAACCATTATCCTTAGATCACAGCCTCCTGAGTAGCTAGGATTACAGGCGTGAGCCACCTGCACTCAGCTGGCCTCTGTTCTTAAAATAGATATATACACAGGCAGGGAAAATACACTGACCAGGGCTGCTGGCAAAACCGTTGTGGAGCTCATGGATAGATTTCAACAAACCCAGATGGTGTCTTCTATGATTTCTTTGGTAATAAGCATTGATTTCATTGCTAATGAACCAAAAAGCTCAAGGACAGCCCTCAGCCCTGAGTTCAAGCATTATGACTGATGGAAGGGAGGGAGGGAGAGACAGTGCCCAGGCCCAGAGTTCAGGCCCCATGACTGGGACCCCCCCCAAAAAAATAAATAAAATAAAGAGATAGAAAATGAGTAAATCCTTTGCCAGTCTCAATGTCTTTACAACAACTGTAGGCTGAGAGATTTGGTAGGATTTGTGTCCATCCTTCCAGGCCTTCTAATTAGGGCGTTCTTCTCTGATTGCATTAAATGCGTAGGTGAACAATGTATCTGGTAAAAGAAATACAGAACCGCATGATAGATGATCACAAGCTGTTGCCGACATGAGATAGTTAAGGTGGTTTTTACATAACCTTTCTTCCAAGAAGGACACGGGAATTTTCATGGAAGGATCAATCGGAAAATAGGATTAAGCAAGAAGGAACAAGGAAGTACTTCATGGCTGACCTTCTCTCCACTTCTAAGGACACTGCAATTTGCCAGCGATGAGAAAGGAAGACCAAGGACCCCAGGAGTCTGCAGAGTATCTGGCACAGTGTAGGCCGCCGTCCAAAAATGGGAAAGGTCTTATTCGGTGGGAGATCAGAGCTGGCTTTGCACTTGCTTCAGTATTATTTGTTTTTGTGCTCAACACCAGAGCATCTGAAAAAGAGTTAAATTACTAATCTCAGAAGAAAGGAGCCATTAGAAGAAAATCATCATCTCATACACATTTCCAGAATAATGTATATGCTTATAATTCTGAAAAATGAGTGAACATCAAATACGCTTTCTCTCCTGGCTATAAGTCCTCCGACGGGAAAGATAGACTTTTATAGAAAAGATAGATTGACGGCCTGGAAGTGTAGCTTAGTGATGAGTGCTTGTCTGGCATGCATGAAGCCTTGGGTTCGATTCTTCAGTACTACATACACAGAAAAAGCCAAAAGTGGTGCTGTGACTCAAATGGTAGAGTGCTAGCCTTGAGTCAAAGACCAGAGATAGCACCCAGGCCCTGAGTTCAAGCCCCAGGACTGCCAAAAAAAAAAGATAAATTGACTATTAAATTTAAAAACCGTATGTCATAAATATATTTGGCATTGGTTGTACAACTATTTTTTTTTGCCAGTCTAGGGCTTGAACTCAGGGCCTGGGTGCTATCCCTGATCTTTTACTCACAGCTAGCACTCTACCACTTGAGCCACAGCACCAATTCTGGCCTTTCTGTGTATGTGGTACTGAGGAATCCAACCCAGGGCTTCATGCATACTAGGCAAGCACTCTACCACTAAGCCACCTTCCCAACCACATAGAAGCATTTTTTTTTAAGGTTAGATATCAAAGGATGTGTGGGAAGGTAAGAAATACTGAGATAAATGGGCCTTGGACACAGGAAGATGTTTGCTGCTCCATTACGTGACCACTTCAGGTGAGAAATAGAAAAGCCACCTGTTGCGAGGAAACACTAAAACACATGTATGGTAAGAAGGATGTGATGCAAAAACTGTGTACCTCAATATAGAGCAATCAGACCACCCAATTCATGAAGAAATCACAGAGGTCCTTTGTGGCAATGACAGCCAACTTTCTGAGATTGTGTCTCTGGGTTCCTTCCCTCCTCACATAAACGGCCATAGTGGATGATGTAATAGATTGAGAGAAAACCAATCCACAGGACCACACTCCTAAATCAGGGAAGAATCACCATCTGTGACTTGGTTTCCTGTTTTTCCTCAACAAGAAATACCTTCTGCCAGCAGGCCTGCAGATCTCTGGTTGATGTTTCTAGATGATTTGTCTCTGAGAGATGGCATGCCGTGAGCTGATCGAGTGGAAGGCCACCATCTTGGATGGTGGCAAGAGATTCCCTGGGTTTCACCAAGGCCGCTGCAAGATGGAGCTGGAGACAGGAGGAGGTGGATGCCCATCTCCTGTCCCAACCAGGTGAGCAGGGGCTAGAGCCACGCCTGTCCTTGGAAGCCCTTCCTCCCTTTGTGCTCCAAGTCACCATGAAGGTCACAGGGCTGGACTTGCTTTTCCTTTGCTGCTAATCCCATTAGAGTCTGAGGGTGCCAGACCCTGCCCATGGCCCCCAGCGAGGCCACTGGGAGGACACTCGGAGGGGGACAAAAGGTCTTGTGATGGGAAACACTCGGGTCATTATGCATCAGGATGGTGGAGACATGATATAAAAGGAGGAAGCGTTCAGATCATTTCCACCACAGCCGACCTGCTCTGAGCTTCTACAGCCCTGGGCTCACCAGCAGTTTCCTCACGATGAAGGCTCTGTTCTTCGCTCTCTTGTTCGGTGTGGCCTTTGCTGAGATTCAGCCATCACAGGTACCAGGCATGCGCTTAGCAGGTGTGTGTGTGTGTGTGTGTGTGTGTGGGTGTGGGTGTGGGTGTGGGTGTGGATGAGAGACACAGAGAGATTGAGTTGAATAGCCCCTGGATGTCTGTGTGCTCATGATCAAGGAAATGCCTTTCCCTCTTTTAACTCCCTGTCGATGGATGGAGGTGGCCTCTTTTGTCCAAGACTCCCGGCCATGTTGGGTTGTGACTTTGCCTGGGGAGCCTGTCATGCCTCCATTGAATCCTGGCTCACTCTCCAGAAGCCATGATGGTGCTCCTGGGTGTCTGGGTCATGCAGGCTCCGGGTTGGATGTCCCAGAAGAGAGGCAAGGCCTGGCCTCCTCTTCTTCTGCCAAGTTGAGATTGGCCTTGTCCTGGGCTGTGGGCGGCAGCAGAGGGGAGGAGGATCTGGGGGTGGGGGTGGGGAGGAGGACAGAGGCGCTGGCCTTGGGCAAAGGGACCTTTGTCCTCCAGGTCACTGGCACGTGGCACACGTTGGCCATCATAGCAAACAGATTGAAGAAGATTGAGGAAGACGGCCCCTTGAGAGGCCTTTTCCGCTACGTCGAGGCTCCTGAAGATGGAAGATCCATGACCGTCCAATTTTATAACAAGTGAGGAAAGCTTCCCTCTCCCACCCCTCCTCCCCACCCTCAGAAGAGGGAGCGGTGCTCTGCCCCCATGTCCAGGTCCTAGGATCTTTCACACAGCCATGTACACTTTTAGAAAATGCCATGGTGACTGGTGTCCAGCCAGGAATGGATAGTGTGCGCTCTACGTCACAATCAGCACCTGAACCTGGTGGATTCAGGTCTTACATGAGCAGCTCAGAAACAGAATGGACCCACATCCTGGGCTTTAGACCGAGGGGGAAACTTTATGCCTGTGTCCTTATCAAGGGCAGTGTCAGGTTTAATCTGGCACACAGTCCACATGCGTGGCAAATGTGTTCCCTGATTGTATATCGACACATGGCTTCCTGGGAAGGTGCTCTACACCCATACCCTTACCTTGACATGGGCATGAGCATATTCAGCCATCAGCCAGTCCTGGTGGCTCATGCCTGTAATGCCAGCTGAATTACAGGAGGATGAGATTGGAAAGCTCGCAGTTCAACCCACACCAGGCCAGGACATCCATGAGAAATTTAACCAGCAAACAAAGTGGGAAGGGTAGCTGTGGTTCAAGTGGTAGAATGTCAGCCTTGAGCAAAACAGAAGCCTTAAGACTGAGCACTCTTGTCCTGAGTTCAAGATCCCGGATGTGCATATTATTATTAATAATATTAATATATAGTTAACAAGAATTTTCCTATATATGACAGAATTATATGCTAATTATCAAATACTGTCTATTTATAATATATCATGTAATAATTATATAATAAGAGTATTTAATAATAACCATAATAAATTTGAGGTGGTGAGATTTTCAAAGAATCTCCCAGGCTGGTATCCATTTCTGCTCAGCCATTCTGGAACACATTACTGGGTTGTATGGATGTTTGTGTTGATATTTTTCAGGCAAACCGGAGAGTGCAAGAAATACACTGTTGTGGGCACGCTGCGGGACGATGGATTGTACGTAGGACAGTGTGAGTACAATGCGGTGTAGACAGAAGAGGGACTCAAAGCGTGGCCATGCACAGGATGGGGGGAGGAGCTACCGATCTTCCATCTATGCCTCTGAAGTCTCCAAACATCCAAGAGTAGAGTTGGAGATCATCTGGGAGAAAGAGCTGAACTGTCCAGGTGACGGCTTCAACCAAGAAAATTCAGGGATTATACAAGTTTGCCTTAAGATCTTCAGGGTATTTGATTATTCCTTTTCAAATGATCTCAAAGGGGATTCCCCCTAGATGTCACCATTTATGAAGGCGGTGGACAAGCTCATTAGATCTTGCTCAGTGTTCTCACTTTGGTAGTTGGACACAACTACTGACCTGTGGGCTTTATCTTCCTTTCTTTATTTTTCATCACAAGGAATATGTGTTTTATTAAAGAATTCATTGGAACACTGTACCCATAGGTGACACAGATGTGAAGGCAGCAGATCGCTAGCCACCATTCCTGGCAATAAGCTTTCAGTACATGAATTATTGTCATAGTTTTTGACTCTCTTGAGTAAAAACTCTCTTGTGCACACAAAATGCCATTTGAAAAGGCCGTTGATGGAGACAGCGCAGGTATTTTATCAACAGCTTCAGGAAATTCCCAGGAATTGAATTGGGGGAAAACCTGTCCAACATGATGGACTGCATCTAATTTGTCAGGTATTGTTGGCACCTTAGTCTCACTGGAGAAAATGATTTAACAACCATATTCTCCACATTGATCGAGACATGCTGTATTCATAAACTGTTTTGTTGAACGTCCACCCCTCTGCACAGTTGCTTAGGATCATTAATATATATGTCCTAAGAAAGTCTGTTGGAGTTTGAAAGACCAGTAATCGATTGGAAAGGGGCCTGATGTACTAAAATCTCTGATATCAAAGTCAAAATACCAAAAGAAGAGCCAACCTGAACCTACTGAATTGCACCGATTTCACTTAGGACAAGTGGGAGCACAGATTCTTGTTCATTCATGCTAGGATGGTTTGGGGAGGGTGGAGGATTCAGGCAAAGGTCTCTGGGCTGTGTCTGGAGGAGGTGGAATTCTCCACCCAAGACCAGGATGTTTGAACTTCGAGGCAGCGCCCAAGACCGATTAGGCGCCAAGTGACTGAGCGCCAGCCTACCCTGGGGGAGGAGGAGAGCAGTGTATTCCACACAGAGCAGGCGACTTGCAATGCAGGCCCAGATCGTGAGCGAGCTGAGGATGACTGCTTTTGTCGTAGACGATGGCCTAAATGAGTTCGAGTTGCTGGAGCAAAGCAGCCATCTGCTCATCTTCCACAATAAGAACACGGATGAGGAGGGACAGGTCACGCACATGATCCTGGTGGCAGGTGAGCACCCGGGGATGTCAGCCCACAGCGGGCTGGGGACTGAGCCTGGAGGGGGAAGGGCGGCCACTGCCCACATCCACTGCGGGTAATCATCGCCAAGCCCCGTGCTGCGGAGTGGAGGAGACAGAATGGTCTATTCCAGAAGACCTAGCTCTGTTGCACACTTGTTTATTCTACCCATTCCTAGAGAGTCTCCCAGCAGGGATCTGTCTCATTCCCACACTTCCAAGGGGCTTGTAGTATAGGAACCCACGGGGCAAATCCTCATTCAATTTGATGGTGGAGTGAGCTCCTTTCCTCGCTGACCCCTCCTACCACGTTCTCGAAGGGTCCAAACAAATGTCACCTGCTTGGTAGAGGAACACGAGTTGAGCTTCTGAGATCAAATGCTGTCAGACATGACAATCGTGAGCTCTGACGAATGAAGTATGACAAGCACTGGAGTTGGATAATGGGGTGTTTATCATACTCGCATGGCGGGGGTGGGGTGGGGAGGGGGAGGGCGGAGAATATCCAACACAGGTTGGAGGAATGGCCAGGATGTGATTTGGAGTTGTGCTTCTGGTTTTTCTCACAGGTCACAGGGGAAATAGGCTTGAGTCCCTTGGTCTTCTCCCTTGGGTTCTGGGCAAGACCGGACATTGCGTAGGGAATTGGAGATGGGAAAAGTAAGACTGCAGAGTGTGGAGGAAAGAAGAAATCTCACCTGGGCACCAGTGCCATCCCAGCTACTCAGGAGGCTGAGATCTGAGGATCCTGGTGGGATGCCAGCAGGGACAGCCAAGTCCTTGAGACTCACCTCTCTAGTGAAGCACCAGAGAGCCAGAAACAGCCCCTGAGGGAGCATGCTAGCCTTGAACACCAAAAGTTCAAGGACAGGCCCCAGGCCTCCAGTTCAATCTCCAGGACTGGCACCAAAATTACCAAAAACAAACCAAACGTGTAAATAAGCCCTGAAAACACATCACGCTAGAGACCCCATCTTGATCTCTGGGAGCCTGTTGGCATGGGCATGGCTGATCACTGGCCCAGTGGTTCTCAGGGGAAGCCATTGTCATGTAGGCCGCCTCTTCCTGACTCCCTTTCCATGCCACACAGGGAAAGGAGAGAGGCTGACCGAGGAAGAGAAACAGAGGTTGGAGGAGTTCGCCGAGAAGAAGGGTATCCCGATGTCCAGCATTCAGTATGTCCAGGAAACAGGTGAGTCCTGATCCTCTTCCTTCCAGCCGGCCACATACATATCACCACATGAACTCACTCCCCCGACATCCTTGCCCAAGATCATCTCTGCACACGATCATGTGTTGCTTGCCTGGCAAGGAATCCGCTTGGTGGGATCGCACATCTCCCTTGATCCTGTTTCATTTTTTTCCTTGCTCTTTTTCACAGATGATTGTCCGGAGAAGTAAAGACCTGCCCAGGTGAGTACACGTGCACACACACACACACACACACACACACACACACACACACACACACCCCACACACACACACACACACACACACATGGCCCTTCACCCCATCGCCACACGAATTCTGCTGTATTTTCTTCTGATTGTGGAGTTCAGAATCTCTCTGGAAGGAAACTATGTGTAGGAGTCAGGAAAATTTCCCTTCCTGACTTAGGTGTGCACCCGGGTTTTACAATCTGGGAAAAGGAGGACAGAACTGTTTGATAGAGGAAGGGTTAAAAATCTGTGAATTTTGGTCGATTTCCGGGCCAGTGGACAATGCTGTGTTCACAAACTCTCTCAGCCAGTGGGCGCGTCTGCAGAAATCATGTGTAAAAGCAGATCCACACGTAATTTCCAGTACACAGGACGTAGCCACTCGACCGCTACAAAGGCATCATCTCTGACCTGGTGTGTTGACAACATCTCCTTCACTAGGAAAATGGGACTTCTAGTAACAGGCGCGCACACATGCACACACACACACACACACACACACATATACACACACGAGATCTTGGGAAGTGAATCTGCCTTTAGCAGTTCGTTTCTCATGTCCTTCTATGCGTTGCCTGTTTCCCATTTGCGATCTCCACCGTGAGGACATTCCCAGGGTCTCAGGTGTGGGTCCCTCCTCTCTGCTCTATCCTCACAGGTGATAGCATGTTCAGGAGGGCACCTGCCTCCATCTTCCCCATTCCAGCAGAATCGACTCTGGGAAGATGAGCTGTCCTCACGCATCACCCATGTTTTCCTCTATCCTGCTACATCAGCATCCTGACTCATGCCTTTCCCACTTCTCCCCTTCTCCTGAAATCTGTGCTGGCAATCCATCACTGAGTGATTCAATAAACCTTTCCCAAGCATGTCCTTCTGACTTGGATGATCCACTCAATGGGGCCCTTCCCAGAAACAGCCACTCCAAAGGAGTGATTGAAAATCAAGTCTCTACTAGAACCACCGATTCTGTGTCTGTTATTCAGAATACGCCATGCTCATGCCTGCCCTGCTAGCTACTCAACGAGCTAAGATCTAAGTCTCATGGGTTGAAATCAGCCCAGGGCAGAAAAGTCTGGGAGACTTCCTATCTCTAGTTAATCACACCCAAACCCAGAAGCAATGCTATGCCTTGTGTAGTTGAGTGCTGGCCTTGAACACAGAACCCGAAGGAGGATGCCCAAGTCCTGAGGACAAGCTCAGGAAGAGAAAACAACAATGACATAGTCCCTGAGCATTTAGCATTAGGAAAAGACACATCATCTTCAAGAGTGGGAGGGTCTGTGAAGAAGTTCTATCATGTTCCCATAGATTCCACCGGAAACACAAGGCTGCAGGGCTCAAAGTCGGCTTCCCTTGGTTCTGCCTTCCCTGGGACTGGACTGAGGGAATCTGTCAAACACACAAAGAAAACTGTCTTTTGGGCTTGAACACATGTCATCTCAGGCTAGGGGTTGGCTTTAGGCAGTGGGAAGTGCCTGGACCCCAATGTGGGAAAAAGCGTGCCTAAAATGCCAGGCCTGTTCTTGTCACCATGTGGGGAATCCTGGAGGGGGAGTTGGAGAGGAGAAACCCTGGGTAGTGTGGTTTGCCCACCTAGGCCTGGTACATACATGCCCCGGATGCTGAGAGTCTCACATTCTGTGGACATGCAATAGCAGATGGGCACTGTCTCTCCCTGCTCTCAGCCCTAGGATTTCTGGCAGTATCCGGACTTGCTGAGATTGAGAACCCCATTTCCTCCTGATTTCTCCTTATCCAACTCCTCTGTGCAAGATGCCCTTCCATTCATGTTCTGCAACCCTCTTAAGATGACACCGACCCATCAGAACTATGAAGGCAGAGGTTGGGCTTAGACCTGAACCAGACCCATGGGTTTATTGGTTCTTCAGCCCAAGGTGGGATTAGAATATTAATCATGTAATATTCATGTAGGAGTTGGGACAAATCACAGCCTGGGCCTTTCTTTACTCATGCCTCACCAGGAATCTCCTGGTGGGACTTAGGCCATCCCTTCTTCCCAGGGCCCCCCTTGAATGAGCCGGTATTTAACACGGGTTCCCAAGTGCTCAGTCTTAGTGGACACAAAGGTAGAGACTTGAACTCTGCTCGGAGGTGTTGGCACAAGAACACGAAAGCAGGCGCTGGCAGCTTCCAGGCTGTAGAGAATTGATTTAGAAGAACCAAGCTGCCAGCCTGGGCCAGATGGAGCCATGCAGAGATGTGGAGAGTGAGCACATGGCACACAGAGGATTGGGGTAGGTTGAGCAAGAGGTGTGGGCACAGGGGATGCAGAACTGTGCTAGGACGTGTGTGGACTGGACACTGTTTAAAGAAGGAATGATTGGGCAGAGGAGGAAGCGACGCCAGAGTAAGAGGAAGTAGCCTCAGAGGAATAGGAAGTGATCTCAAAGGAAGAGGAAGTGATCTTACAGGATGAGGAAGTGACTTCAGAGGAAGTAGAAAGGGCCTACCAGTAAGAAGAAAAGACCTCAGAGGAAGAGGAAGTAGCCTCAGCGGAAAAGGCCTCAGAAAAAGAGGAAGTGATCTCAGAGGATGAGGAACAGGGCTCAGAGGCATGGGCCTCAGAAAAAGAGTCAGTGGCCTCAGACGAAGAGGAAGTGATTTCAGAGGAACAGGAAGTAAGCTCTGAGGAGGAGGAAGTGATGTCAGAGCCTGAGCTGCTTTGCTGAGTCCCAGTCAAGTGATTGACAGTCAGGTGATTGACAGTGACAGGGGATTACCAGTTCGGGGCAGGTGATGTGTGTAAGGCTTCCTGCTGTCCTGCAGGAAGAAGAAGAAGTGGAGGGGAAAGGATGGGCAGAGATAACAGGTGCCAGGTGAGAACCGGGCCCTGTCATGTGTCAAGTGTAGACAATGCATGGAATCTGACAAGGATTAACAAGTACCCATGGTGACTGCTGACATGGAGCAATGGGATGCCCAGAAACAGACGGACACCCTTCCGCACCAGCGGAGAACGCTGGGTCTCTCCTGAAGAATTCCTGAAGATTCTCCCACGTGTATGATGTTAGCTGATCTTCTGGGTTCAGCTTTCACAGCATAGGCTGCCCAGGTGGTTGAAATTGAGAATCCAACTTCCTCCCCACAGCACGAACAATGCTGGAATAACATGCAGGATTGCAAGACAAGGAGAGAGAACCATTTTCTGATGTCAGGAATGACATGGAGCGATAACAACCCTTCAGGTGGCTTTCTTGAAGAAAATGCAAGATCTTTGTATGGACTGGAGCCTTTGGTTGTGATGGTTGTTTTTCTGCAGTATTTGGGGCTAGAATTCAGGGCCAGGGTGCTGTACGTGAGCATTTGTGTTCACGGCTGTCCTTCAACCACCTGAGCCCCAGCTCGATTTCTAGTTTGGAGGCATGAATGATGGACACAGGCTCACACACATTCCTGCTCCAGCTGGCTTCCAACCACCATTCCCAAATCTCCTGACTAGCCGGGATTCTAAGCTTGAGCACCGACTCCCAGCTGGATTGCGGGGATGGGAGGGAAGGGTTGTACAGCAGGATGGAGCAGAATGGACCCATTGCACACTTGGAGATGACGCCTTCAGCAGCTTCTTAACTTCTCTTCAAAATGCACAATAGACATTGCTCCGATACAAACAGAAAGAAGTGACAAATTCTGCCCTAGTGTTTTATTTTATGGGTCCAGACTTGGGGCCTGAAATCTGTGCTGGTCGCTGTCACTCAGCTGTTCAGCTCAAGGCTAGCACTCTACCTCTTGATCCATAGCACCACTTCTGGCTTATTTTCTCCGCTTATGTGGAGTTGAGGAATCAAACCCAGGGCCTCAAGCATGCAAGGCAAGCACTCTACCACTGAGCCAGCTTCCCAGCCTCCTGCCCCAGTCTTGAACGTTGGTATCATCCCTTCTTTCCTGGCAGAAAGCTTTGCCCTCAGGTGATGATGGTAGGAGGAATGAACCTCACATACCCAACTTGGGTATGGTTGGGGAAATTGAGGCTGGAGATTAATGAATACTGTGAAAAAGGCCTCAGGAAGAACAGAAGTGTTCCACATGAGACTCCACAATTTTGAGACTTCATGCGATTACCTACGAATATTCCTCTACCCACAACAAATCTGCCATGGTTTAACTTTGTCAACAGAACAGGACATCAGAAAGCAGAGAGAGGCCCATGTGCAATCCATGAATTTTTAGGAAATAACTGCTGTCTGAAAACACCATTTTTCAACTAGTGGTTTCATTTTTCATGTCTTTTATTTTTTGTTGGTCATGGGGCTTGAACTCTAGTCTTGGGCTCTGTCCCTCAGCTCTTCAGCTCAAGGCTAGTGCTCTACCTCTTGAGCCACAGCACCACTTCTTGTTTTCTGGTGGTTTATTGCAGATAAGAGTCTCACTGTCTTTTCTGTGTGTGCTGGCTTTGAACCGTGATCCTCAGATTCCTGAGTAGCTAGGATGACAGGGCTGAGCCACTGGCATTTGACATGTCTTTTATGATTTCTAAGTATCTGTGTTACCACAAAACAAAGCTCTTGATCCACCCCTTTTCTTTCCACATTCTCCCCCATCCTTCTGCCACCCACCTCTTCCCACCCTCTTCTTTCTTTTGCAGGGCAAACATTGAATTCTTGTCTGAATTTCACCCCGAACTTCTCCTCTTCATTCACCTACCCTGCCTCATATGACCCCACCCCACCTTTTCCAAGTCTCTGCTTCCATTTGTTTATTTTGTTGAATTTTGAGTCTGCCTTTCTAAGGAATTACACTCTTTGTGATCTACTTTGAACCTACAATCCTTCTGTTCATACATTTGTGTTCACTTGTATGCCCTGGAGCGTATTCAACAATCTATGCATACTCTGAACATGGCATTATATACCAGAAAACCAGCACATTCCCTTTGTGGCTCAAATAATGGATCATTTCTGGAAGCAAACAAACAAATGTATGATTGCTCAAAGGGCAAAGTCAAACGCAAATGTGCATACTGGCAGTCAGACCAAGCTTGCTAAGCCTGTGATAGTCTGATCAACAAAATCATTCAAACACATGATAAAGTAAATAAATAAGACAATATCGGCTGATGTAATAAGGCAATAATGTGATAATTTATACTTGTAATGAGTTTCTGAAGGCTTGCTGTTTATTTGTATTTTCCTCATGACTACACTGAGCAATGTTAAGTTGAGGTTGACAGGTAAGTGTTATGTGAAATCCTTCAGAAATCAATAGGAAACAAGAATCTAGTATTGATATTAAACTCTCAGAGAGAGGACATTATCATTTCTCCTGATGGCCACTTAACAGGGTCTTCCTAAGATCAGACAACAATTAGACACATCCTGAGAAGATTTTTCTGAAAGGACTGCATTAGAGAGAGGTAGGATGAAAGTCACACCAAGGAAAGACAGGGGAAGAAGGAAATCCCTTCCACGTGGGTTTGTAATCTTGTTGCTGGATAGATCCCAAAAGTCAGATGATACACCAAGTACTTCTGATCATTTCTGAGCACTTTGGAAGGACGGAAGGAAGGAAGAGAAGAATACAGTATGTGTTTGTTCTGCCTGTGGTGAGAAACGGGAATGAAGAAATACTCTGCCTGCTTCCTTAGACAAACAATGGCAAAAGACTATATCCCAAAGGCAGAGGAAACTGAGGATTTGAAATGAATCTGCACAGCAGAATTTAGATTTACAGTGTAGATAAATTGCACAAACTCTAATGACCCAAATTTTGTATCCTATTGGAACCCAGAGCATCATTTCAAGGAACTTGCCTATTAAAAAAGTAGTAATGAAATAAAAGAGAGAAATATGCAAAAAGGGAAAACAAAACCA